TATCATAATAATACTTTCCAGATGTTGTCTATTTTGTAATCCAATTTTGCACATCTTTTCTCTGTAACTCCACTTAAGCACAATGAGATGTTCAGCTACTTTGTTACCTTACGTTAATGTTATTTCTAACACTGAGGATATTTTGCTCTAATAATACTCCGAGCTTGTGCATTAACTAAAAGATGGAGATCTGAAAGCAGCCTCAGATGATGTGACAGCTGTTCTGCCGTTCAATTGTGGTCTTGCCAGATGTCTTCAGATTGCAGCACAATTCCCTAAAAACCACTTCATGATAAAGGGAAGTTAGAAGGCTTTTTTTGCATCACAATAGATCAGTTGTTCAGTCGTTTTTAAAGCCTGATCCAAAAACATTTATTCTGTTTATTCAAACAGAAACTGAAGGCGGCCCGCAATATTTTGCTGGCAACATTAGCTCTTAATATCCAACCAGATTCCTGTATCCGTCTTATTTTTCCCATAAGAGCGGAAGTCTCGCACATTCACAGAAAACAGCTTACTTCTGTGTTGAAAAATAAGGTGGATAGTCCGTGCCTCCACAATGCTCTATACACAAATCATAACCAATAATAATGTGTGTGTGTGTGTGTGTGTGTGTGTGTGTGTGTGCGCGCACACAGGCAGATGTATTGAATAAACCAGAGGTGCTGTGCCTGCCAGAGAGATGCAAATGAATGAATGAACTAGAAAAAAAAAAAAAAGTATGAATATCTTATTTATTGTAGTCCTTGGAATATTTTTAACGCGAGCCGTTCTATCTCGCCCAGGATTAATAATGCAACAGATTCCAATAGGTTCAATAATGGAAGGCAATCAGTAGAGCAGAGCTCACACGCGCACGCAGGAGCGTGTCCAACGCTGCACATATTTCAGCACATCTCGCGTCCACAGGAGATCCGCGCAGCTCCGCCAGTCTCTTTCAATTAAGTCAGTGTAAGAGAGGCCAATTCATCCCAGCAGCTGCATTGCATGTTAATATGACACTGATCCCAGTCAAAGAGGATAAAATCCAAACATATGAGTGCGGTTGTTTTATACAGAGATGGAACATTTTTGCAAGGAAGAAAAACATAGCAAAAAAGATGAGGTGCTGTGGTTTTATGGACATTTATTTAATGGTGGGTGTTTACGCAGTTGGCTAGAGCAGTGCTGATTGGGGAGAACGGAGGTGCGCTCACTCTTGCCCAGGGCAAGTAAGACTGCAACTCAAGGCTGGCAGTCATGCATATGCTCTGGAACAGAGTAATATCGCGTCCACATCGCAGGTTTTCTCAAATCGCGATTTCGATTCGATTTCGATTAATCGCACAGCCCTAGTACTTACAAGAATTCTAAGGTACACGTCCAAAAAAACCTGTACCATGAAAATACCCGGGACTTATACCAGGTGATTACCATGGTCTATTGACATTTACCATGGCAATACTATGTTTGTATGAGACTTGCTATGTTTCATGAACACTTACCATGGTAATACCGTGTTTTTGTGACAAATAGCATGGCATTACCATGCTTTTATAGATCTTTGCCATGGTCATACTATGTGTTGTGACATTTACCATGGTAATATTGTGGTTTCATGAACATTTACCATGGTGTATCTATGGTTTTATAAAAATGTACTATGTTTTGTGACATTTATTAAGGTAATAGTGTGATTTCATGAGTATTTATCGTGGTAATACTATGTTTTTGTAGCATTTACCATTATACCATAATGGCATTGCCATTGTTTTTGCAGACACTTGTTACAGTACTTCTATGTTTTGTGACACCATGGCATTGCTATAGTTTCATGGACATTAGTGATAGTATCATTATGTTTAAGTGACATTGACTATGACATTATCATGGTTTCATGGACATCGCCATGGTAATATTATATTTTGTGACAGTTACCATAGTAATACCACTTTTTTTTTTTTTTTTTGATGTGGTACTACAATAATACATGTTTTTAGCACGTACGTTATACCATGGTAAAACTATGCTTTGGACATTTGAAGCATCATTGGAGTAACATGTAAATACCATATGTATATTACAGTGCCACAGTATTAAATCTCTGATGCCATAGCTCTACCATGGTACCACCACAGTACTTTGTGGTAAGTATTGGCATTCATACCTAGTGAAAAAGTCAACTATGCAGTAGTATCAACATATAATTTTCCAATAACATAACAGTTTAACATAGTTTAACATAATAATATAACAGCTGCAGTCCTGTGAATTTTAGGACTGCTAATACAATGGGTGCTGCTAAAACAAACATGCAGTGAATAATGGATGATCCGGGATGGAAAAAGTGCATGTTTTGCATTGCATGCATCTTGACAAAACATTTGACAAACCGTCCTGTCTGTCTGCTTTAATATTTGAAGTAGCAAGTAAGTACATTTGCATGTAATGCCACACATGGATAGCCTCAGCCTCGCAGAAGAGGAGTGTGGCTTGACAGCTCTGGAGCTTTAATTGGACGAGGCTTTTATGGGACTGGATGGCGGCTTGTAAAAGATGGAACCGTATTAAATCTATATGTGATGCCAGGGGAGAGTCTTGCTGTTCCAGCCCCTCAGGTAATAAAGCTTGTGTTTTAACTTTGCATAAGAACACAAATGTTTTGTCATTCCACGGTCAGTCAATTAGCCACAAAACTAAAAACGTGCTTCGAAATCAGCCGGCCAGTTAGCTGCAAGTTACTCATATGTTGCCAAAACTATGTGCTTTACCGGGAATGACAAATGATATTGTCCGGTGTCGTGGTGTGTAGTATAAATTGGTACAGCAGTGCTGCTGACAAAAGAGGAATGAGCTTTGTTAAAGCTGAGCATAATTCACTGGGTGCCATGTTTTCAGAAGGGATTGGAAAAGTGCAATACTGCTGCATAAGCAAATGCTGTAAGGTGGCCATTATCCAATAAGATCTCCTGTTTGTTTAGATTGTGTGATAACGGGGTGTTGGGAATGAAAATCAGAGCAGTCGTGTCCTGATTATCAAAGCTGTTTGAGGACGAGTAAAATCGCAATTCTGTCATGCCATTTAGGAAATGTCAGCATGGGTGTTTTTGTAACTTCAAATGTGACATGAGATGGGCTGATTTGTGAAATGTGGTGCTTGTTTTGGAATGTTATAGTATATTCCAACAAATCTCCCATGTGAAACTGCAATTCCACGTCTGCCCATGCGACGGTCATCTCGCGTAGGCATGAAGTCTGGTTCACTTTGCAGCTCAATTATGGAAGAGCTCAAACACAGCACATTTGGTTTGGTTACATCGTTTAGAAGCAATTTTGCATTAATTAACGAAATAGTTAATATCACATTTTTAAAAACGGCACAAAAATGTTTTTATTGTGGTATCAGAACAAAACCTCAAAGACTATTTACACAAAAGGTTGTACAAAAAAAAAAAACTGTGATATTATGTATAGTTTTTGTGCTTTCATTCTGTTAATCCAAAAGTAAAAAGTAATGCATGCTGATTTTTTAATAAACAGAAAAGTACAAATATGTTTACGTTACCAAAACCAATTCATATCAACGATTGTTCAGAGCAAAATCTCAAAGACTATTCCATTCATTTTTTTTTTGGAGTTTAACACAAACAGTCATACAAAAAACTGAAGAAATTTGCATTTATTTTGCGTTTTTCTTTTGTTAATACAAAAGTAAAGAGTACTGACTTTTAACACACAGAAAATGATGTGAATAGACCGCAAGTACATTTACATGTGCAGTTATAATCAAGTTTTTTTTTTTTTTTTAGTGGTATCAGCTATAGTTCAGAACAAAACCTTAAAGACTATTCACACTCCTACTAATTGTTATTATTATTTGGTTTCAAAAACAGTTGTACATAAAAATAAAGAAATTCACGCAGATGTGTATTGTTTTTGTGCTTAAGCTTTTTGTGTCATAAGCTATGTGTACTGACTTTTTAAATTACTAAAACTACACTATTCACACTTCTGCTAATTTTTCTGCAGTTGAACACAAATGATTAGATAAGAAAACTGCAGAAATTTGTTAAAGGGGTCCTATTATGCTCTTTTACAAAGTCTTGATTTTGTTTTGGGGATGTACTAGAACAGGCTCTCATACTAGGTTGTTCGAAAAACACATTATTTTTCACATATTTTACATTATTACAACACCTCTCTCCCCAGTCTGGCATGAACGGCTTTGTAGTTTTTGAAAAGTGATTTCTGTTAAATAAAATATCTCCTTTTGAAGTGGACTTTGAACTTTGTAACTTTGCAGATCTTTTTTTATACTCAAACAGCAACATTACAGACTAACTAAAGTTGAAAAAGTGAAAAAGCATAATAGGACGCCTTTAAATTGTGTATAGTCTTTGTGCTCTTTTTCTGTCCAAAAGTAATGCGTACTGACTTTTTAACACTATGTAAATGTACAGCATGTTTACATGTGCAGTTACAATGCAGGTTTTTTATTGTAGTATCAATCGTTCAGAAGAAAATATTTACATTTGCGCTAACTTTTTCAGTGTTTTCAGTGTTTTAACACAAACTATCGTACAAAAAAATGAAATTACGTAACTGTGTACAGTTTTGTGCTTTTTGAACAATTACACTTACATGCACAGTTTCAATCAAGCTAAAATGGGTTTTTGCATAGTCAAACTACAGTCCATCCAAGTATACATAACAAGTGTGCACTCGAACACTTAATACATTAAATACACATCACGCTTCACCTCTTTTCAGAGTTGGTGCACAATGTAGGGCCAATTATTGTGCAATTAACAATACATGCTGGGTGAAGCCAAGCTACAACTGTGTTATCTAGATCTGTTATAAAATGTATGTTTTCTGTTTAGGTTTTATAGCTTTAGTCTGACTGAAATCTAACTTTTAAAGTCTATGTAAGCTTGAGACTGACTATGGCGGTCAGACTAACGCGACGGTAACACTCAGACCCCATCCCGAAAGAGAGGAAATGAAGCACTGTTGCTCACCCAGTGTCTGATGAAACTCACCCGACACCGGGGTCATGGGGGTGGGTGGCAGGCTGTTGATATTGAGCGCCCCCATCTGGTGGATCTGGGTGGTGGGAAAGGCCACGCTGGGCGCCAGGTAGCCACCGTGACTGGAAGCCATGAGGGCCGCCTGCTGCTGCATCAGCTGCCGGATAGAGATAGAGAAAAAACAGAAAACAGAGAGGGAGAAAGAGAGAGAAAATTTACTAGAAGCACACAGGCTACATGGGGGCATGATGGATAGGCAGTGCTTCGCAGAGTAGAGGAGAAAGTAGAGCGGAAAAAGAGAAAAATGTGTCAACCTATGTTTAGTGAAAGCGTCCATCTTCCCAGTCAGAGGGCTGTCGCAAGCCCCCTCAAAACATTTCAATAGCTGTCGGTCTGGCTCATTCTAATGGAGGGATCGACGCACATATTATTGTAGTCCTTAAGGGACCTGGGAGTTCGGAGCAAAAAAATTGAATTGTATTCATTTTTTCCCTTTCAAACTTTAAGATGATGCTTTCTTCATGGCCTTGACAGCGCAACTTCTTTTCCCTCCCCCATTTTCCTTTACGATGTGACAGCTATCAAGGCTGAATATATCACTGTTATCCTGAAGCGGATATTCTTAGATCCAGGCTAAATGACCATTAGATCCAGAATGTACCTCATGCATACATGCTAGCTTACATGTATCGTACACGTCTTTTCTAATAACGTCACTGTGCAATCCACTTTTGTCAGAGTAGACACCATATTCAGTCTTTTGGGAATGAAAATAGCAATTTTAAGTAGAAAAATAGAAAATAGAAAAAAAATAAAATAATAATAATAATAATAATACATAATTAATTAGAATAATTAATTAAAAATAAATTAATTGCAGTTAATACAAATTAAGTAAATATTGTAGTTGACCTCTCTACCTTTTTTAAAATAATATTCTTGTTAAATATTCTTTTTCACTCAGAAATACATCACATTACAGAAGTAAAATGGGTCGCGAATGCTGTTTCATAGGTCATGTCCAATTTTATTTGCCCACTGGAAATGTCTCGTGTTTTCTAATAAAAGAAAGACAAAATAAATAAATTAAATTAAATAAATAAAAAATCAATAAATAAAAAAAATTATGTAGCTGGCCTCTCTACCTTTTTGTTAACTATATATTATTTTTAAACACGCCACATTACAGAAGTAAAATTGGCTGCAAATGGGGAATTTGCACCTACAATCCCCGACATAGGGGAATGGGATAAATGCAGAGCACTAATTCCGAGTATGGGTCACCATACTTGGCCACATGTCACGTCACTTATACTCACACTCACTTAAAATAAAAAAATAATATTGTAGTCAACCTCTATGCATTTTTTCCCGAATCATATTCTTGTTAAATATTACTTTTCACTTGGAAACACATCACATTACAGACGTAAAATTGGTTATGAATTTAAAATGATTTGTACGGCTCATCTCTTCTAATCACGCCATATTCTCCACTCAGAAATACGTCACATTATAAAAGCAAAATGGGTTACAAATGGCGTTTCATAAGTCATATAATTCTTTATTTTATTTATTTATTTTTTACTGGAACTATAAAGACGCATTTTCAATTGACACAAGGTACATAACTGTACGTCTGTTTTCGTCACGACAAATTAAACAAACCACTGGCTACTCTTACTAAAGTCAATTTACAAGAACAATGCTTCTAAAAAATGTGGTCAACATCAAACTATTCCCGTCCAGTTAAACAATAATGCAACTAATCAAAACAACATTCCTGTACATCACAGCATGCAGTCCCCAAAGAGGAAAAAAGGCCAAAAGTAATATGCTACATCATGCAATAATTATCGAGCTGCCACTCTTCATTTGAATGCTGAAGATGATATTGTTAAGGTAGGCTTTGCTCTCTGCCGCTGTTTCATCTCTGGATAGTAGAAAGGCAATCATATTCTCTCTTTGGCCTTGTCACTGAGCCTGAAAGATGCCGTCCACCCACAAAACAAATCTATAAGCCTCGCATGCATTACTATCTATAAACTCCTCCTTTCATTTGCATAATTCCATCAACAAACTGCTGAGGATCATCTATTATCCTACAGGTAAAATCCACAGTTTTGTGGAAACAAGGAGCATAAATATGTTAAATAAAATCTCAGCACAAATATGCTGAGTAAGTAAACTAAAAAGCTTAGCATTGCTTAATTGTACACTGGGAGCATTTCAAGAGAAACATTTACTTCAGAGGTATTCAAAATTAATTGAGAGTTTTTCAACATTTAAAGTTTTTGCAACTGCTTAATATTTTAACACTTTTTACTTAATAGGTTTTCAGAGAATCTACCTTTAACAGAAGTGTAATTTGTCTTAATGCACTGTGAGATTTTATTTTTTTTATTTTTTTTACGTATAACTTAAATAAAATTGTTACTTGGGTGAGTTTGCAAGAATTTTGAAACTTAAAAATGGGTCACGGGTCACCGGTTTAATGCATTTGTCAACCTTCAGGCAAGGGTGGGACGAGACAGTCTAGTCTCTCTCCGCCTTGTAATAGCCATGCCACAGTAATCAGGCACTTTTGTGCCCATCTCGCGGCCTCTTCCTTCCTGCTGAATGGGGCATCAGAGTTAAGCTGGCTGGCTCTCGCCGGGTGACAGTTTGCTAATGCCCTTTAAAAGCCAGAGGGACAGGCTTTGGGCAGAGCATAGTGCGGTGAGTTGAAGAGTTCCATATTGTAATTTCCCTCCATGAACGGCTCGGATAATGTCGCCTTTCATGGCTGCCACCAGATTGCCTCAGATAACGATGTGGCATTCAGTTCTGCTCTTTAGGAATTAAAACAGAAAATTGGAGGCCCAAGCATGTAATTATGTTGGGGAGAAGTGAGCAACATCAATTTGTTCTTGGAGGGGGTGGAGGGGAGAAAAGGAGGGAAAAAAAGAAAAGAAAAAACAGGTCCTTTGGCTGTCGGCTGCAAACAAGACTATTGAAAAAACATCTCGTGTTTCTCTGTTATTCTTATTCAAAGACATAGTTCAGCCAAAAATGAATCTTTTACCCTCTTATTTGTCATTCTAAACACTTATGACTTTATTTCTTGCTTAGAATATAAAAGGACAAGTTTAGTGGAATGTCCAAGCTGCTCTTTTCCATCCCATGAAAGTGAATGGTGGCCAAGATTTTCAGTGTTTAAATTGATTTTTTTTTTTTGGAGTAGTATTGTATGACTTCCCAAGACTTGGAATAAAGAGCAAGAGTTGTATGGCCCACTTTTATGTTGGTTTTATGGCAATTTTGTGTTGTTTTTAAAACTTGTGGTCACTACAAGCTACTGGAATAAAGAGCTGCGTAAGAAAATCTTCAATAGATAAAAACAGTTTAGCCCATTATTAACATTTTGTCATTATTTACTCACACATTTGTGGTTCCAAACCCTAGCGTAGAATATAAAAGGAGATATTCAGCGGAATGTCCAAGGAGCTCTTTTCCATAAAATAAAAGTGAATGGTGACCAAGATTTTCAGTGTTTAAACTGAATAAAATTTTTACAATTTTTTACAATTACTTTTACCGAAATAAAAGTATCATTCAACTTCTGAAAACTTGGGCTACAGTGCAAGAGTTGTATGACCTGCTTTTATGGTGATTTTATGATATTTTTGCATAGTTTTACATAGACTTGACAGCTGTCGTCACAGACAAATTAGTAGGAAGAGCTGTGTAAAAAATCTTGAATAAAACAGTTCACTCAAAAATGAACATTTTCTCATTAATTACTCACCCGTTTGTCATTCCAAACCTGAATGATTTTTTTTTTTTTTTTGCGTAGAATATAAAAGGAGATGTTTAGTGGAATGTCCAAGCTGCTCTTTCTCATTTAATGAAAATTAAATGAAAGATTTAAATTTTTAAAATGTACTCATTTAAAAGTATCACACGACTTCCGACTTGTGAAATAGCTCAAGACTTGTATGACTTGTGATTTTAAGTGATTTTTAGATGTTTTATGTAGTTTTAAGATCTGAGATGAGGCATTGGGAAAACAGGTACTGCGTAAAAAATCATAAAAGAAAATCGCCCCCAAAAACTCTGCATACAAGTTTGGAATGACATGAGAGTGAAATAATAATTATAAATAATGACAAAATGACAAATAATTACAACAATTAAACTGGGAGAACTATTCCCCAACATTTCTAAACCGAAACTTTACCCAGCATCTTGAATAGACAGGAAGCATTCAGGCGCAGGCAAAAGGGACCAAATTGCCTTCAGCGAAGTCTTCATCACTGAGGTCGTAACCTTTTCTTCCTTCAAAATGGGAAAAAAACAGAAGCGGCCACGGGAAGAAGTTGCCCGGGCGACGGCATCCGTTTAGTGTCAGGCATGTGGGTTTTTTTATGGCTTGCCGATGGCATCAGTCTCCCTCGGTGCCACCAGGCAATCACCTCTTTATCACTTGGCAATTATCCATCCAGAGCTGCTCTGTGTCTCTGCCCACCTCTGCCTGCATCACACATGACCTCTTACAGTCAGTCTGGCCCTGCTGCAGTACAGGGAGAATGGCGGGATGACTGGAGAGATATTTATAGAGAGACGAGAAATGGAGTGAGCTGAATGCGAGGACCCCGGTTATTAAGGTCCCTGGCCCTGTAAGATTGCCTGAAACGGCCTCGCTCCTTTTTCTGCTGTTTGCTAAAGCACATCTTCAGGACTAAGCACAGAGACGGTGCAAACATAGTTTTGGCTCTACCAGAACTTGTTTTAGGCTCTAAACATTATGCAAGAATATAAGCCCAGAAATTAATGCTTGGGACTAATTAACATTTTCTTAAGCAGTATTTTGTCTTGTTTTCCTGAAAGAAATATATGGAATATCCGAAAACATCCAAACAATATATCATAATATATATAATTTACTTTCATCCAGGAGCTAACTATAAACATGTCGACCATTTAACTAACTTTAACAACCTCACTCAAGATTTATTTCAAATTGTTGCTACACCATGACAGTACTTGACCTGAATAAGAAACATGTAAGCAGACAGAGTCATTTTACACTAACGCCCACTATAGAGAATGAAACATGCATTTGTATTGCTTTATGAATTATGTTTCACAATGCAACCAAAATCAAACTTGCTTAGC